GGCCCACGGGCACAGACAATTCCCTCAGCAACCCTCGGAATCTCTGCGTATGTCGCTCAGCCATGCATAGCTCAAAAATGCAACGGTACTTTTCTATATATATAAAGAGAGATGTATGTATATGTATGTGTGTGTATGTATATACATATATGCATATATATATTGCGTTGTTTATGAACTTTAAACGTTTGTAGCTCGCACTCATTCAGAATACTTTAGCTCTCCCTTACCCTCACCCTCTCTCTCTTTCTCTCTCTCGCTCTCTCTATCTCCCAGATGTCGCTGTAGCATTGTCAATGCAAGGTACTCTATGGATTAGTACGGCAATCCACTTCACATCCACTCGACTGTCCCCCTCTCCCTCTCCCTCTCTCTCTCCCTCTCGCTCTGCCATTGACAACTATGTTGAACTTTTTGAAAGCTGTCACAACTAATTTGCATAGACCCAACCATGCAGCCACCCATCCACACCCACACCCAACTACACCCATCCACACCCACACCCACACACACACACATGTTTGGCTTCAGCTGTGTGTGTCTGTTGCATCGACACCAGGAGGAGCAACACGCTCAACTTCTCTGCACTAAACCCGTTCGTTGTCTGCATATTGTTGCTCCATATTTGCTTTTTCTGCAGCTCTGCCTGTATTTGGGTTTTTGTCTTGTTTCGGGCTTTGATTTGCATTCAGCACTTTTTTTTAGGGGGGGAGGAGGGGTTAACAAATATTCATGATGGCCGCAAACTTTTTTTTTTGCTGCCACGAGGAAAATATTTTTGTGCGCAGCTCTGATTGAGAATGGCTTGGAAAATGCTGGAATTTTCATTTAAGCCAGAGCACGCCCAAGCTTTGATGGCATGTGAATACACAAATGAGAGCGCTGCTTGAATCAGCACGACTAAAGAGATACTCTCTCTGTATTGATAGGATTTGTGCTCTAAAATATGGAAATGTTATATTATTATGTTATATTGGAGTTGCATTTGCATTTATAGAGGAAATGTTTTCATCGGGTGTTTTTTAAGCTTGCTCGACTTGAATTTACCCTGGAATATATCAATTTTATTTGTCTTAATTTGTTTTTTGAACTGTTTTCAGCTGTGTTTTCTCTTCGCATAACTCTAAATCCGTTGAGAAATATTCAGTTGAGTGTTTGCTGAGCTTGCACAACTAACGAATACCCTGTCCTACTCTATTAACCTTGTCTTGGTTCGCTAACTGAGCGAATTTTCGCTTGGATTTCGTTTTCTATATCTTTAAAATATAGACGAATTTTATTCCAGTAATATTTGTATAGAATCTCTTTGAATATTTCAAGATCTTCAGCTGAAACTTTAGAAATGTCCTATTAGTGCTCAACATGTTTAAGTATACTGTAGATTAGTTCTCCTAAAGTACGTAAGAAGCGCTTAAGCATGTTCTAATATCATATGCCAATGTATCATGAAAATCCTAGCAAACTGGAAAACTATTCAAAGTCGAATATAAATTTCTGCCTCGGCTTGCCTCCACTCCCATCGACTGCCAATTCAATAGCTTACAGGGTATTGCCATATATTTCAGCAGACAATCACATTAAGCATTTAACGTTGATTCATGTTTTCATTCTGTTGTCTATCTATTTCATCTGTTTCACGCATTTATCAGGCGGTTGACGGGCTCTATGTGGTCGCTCGTTGAGCAGTCAGTGCCCAAGTGTCTAGACTGGCGAATCGCTTGTCTTCTTTCCGTCATATCTGGAGAACCATAACGTAAACTGCCAAATTGCCAGCCGCTAGTCTCTTGCATAACTTGACCTAGGCCATAATTGCCCTAGTCCCCGTCCTTGATGCGCCAAACCCAGGCACGATTCGACGTCGTCGTCGTCCACTTTGCCACATTTTATCTTAATTGCCATGCGTTGGCAATTTACATGCGGCGCCACAACAAAATATATGTTGCATAAATTCCTCACTTGGCAAACAGTTGTGGATCGCCAGCGACACGCTCGCCATATCCTTCAGCCACCTACTTCAGCTACTACAGCTACTAGATACTCTGTAATTTGGTGTTTTGTAGGTGGCTAGACCGACTGGCATTGTAATGATTGTGATGCGAAACAGCGATCATGATTCAGCCTGGCATTTGAAACTTAAAAGGGAAAGATCAACTTCTATATAATATATATAGTATGTAGAATCATTATAATAAATAAAATAAATAGAATATATATATTTCATTTAAAGATAAATATTATCATTGCTGAATTTATAAGCTTCGATAATATTAAATAAAAGAATTTTTTTCTTAAAATATTTTTTACGTTTATGCCATAAATATTTTAGTTTTTCATTTTAATTTGTGATTTAATAATGTTAGGAAAAGGTTTTATTTTTGATTGATCTTTATATACATATTTATCACATAAATATTGTAGTTATTTATTGTAATTTATGCCTTAATAATATTAGGGAAAGGTCTTATTTTGGTACAATTTTTTTATGTTTATCGCATAAAATTTTAGGTAGTTATTGTTTTTATTAGTACTCTGAAAATATTTGCAAAAAATCATTTTTATTACTTCTTTATATTTATCTTAAAATATGTTTGTTATATATGAATTTTTGTTTGTTATATATGAATTTTTGCCCAAATAAATATAAATATAGAACATTTTTAAGGAATAAACATGAAAAAAAAATTTTAAAAATATATTTAAAAAAAAAATGAAATAAACATAAAAATTTTGTTTTAAAAATATATTTTAAAAATAGTTATTGCATAAAAATGTTCTATATTTATATATATTTGTGCTTTAATGATATGTGAAAACTATTTTTTTTTTATTATTATTATTTTGATTTATATATGAATTTTTGCCCAAATAAATATAAATATAGAACATTTTTAAGGAATAAACATGAAAAAAAAATTTTAAAAATATATTTAAAAAAAAAATGAAATAAACATAAAAATTTTGTTTTAAAAATATATTTTAAAAATAGTTATTGCATAAAAATGTTCTATATTTATATCTATTTGTGCTTTAATAATATGTGAAAACTATTTTTCTTATTATTATTATTTTGACTTAAAGACTAATATGAATAAAATATAAGTTTTTAATAAGTATATATCTATACATAAAAATATTATTATTATTATTATTTTTTTGTTAAATGAAAAAATATTTGTTATTTTAAGCAATTTGTAAAGATTTAATCTCAATATTTGACAATTTCATCATAATTTCCTTAGTTTATTCCATTTTGTTTCAATGTATTTTAGCATATTTTTATTTGAGGCAGGGTATGTTTCAGTCGTGCAATTTCGTCATCTTTGTGCATTTCCTATTGTTGGCTTTTCAAATATGCTTAGTAATTTATGCGTGCTTCAGCCTGGAATTTGTGTACCTTTTGGCAGTTTGTTATGGTACCTTGACTGGCTATGTCTATATGCATATATGCAGAGATGTTTATATATGTATGTATATGTACATATGTATGTATGCTATGATTGTATGATAAAAGTGAACTGAAATAGTTTTTGCTTCTTCTGCCGTTTTTACTTCAAATGAATATTTTAAATAATATTCCAAAGTTTGATATTTGATATTTCACTTTTTTTTGGAGTATTTTTTTTGTCTATATATGCCTGATCAGCACTGTAGGTTTATTCACAAGTTGTTAGTCTTAGCTATAAACCTTCTCTTATCTAGTGTATTTCCAAGTCTGACATGCCTTCTGCTGGCTTCTTCCCATTTTTGTTTTTGTCTTACGCTTATGGCATGTCCTTGGCTTCTGCATAAATTCACAGCGACCCGAACTAATTCCTCTAAGTGTTTTATTATCCGTTGCGTGTTTTCGCTGCTGCTGTTGTTGTTGTTGTTGTTGTTGTTGTTGTTGTTGTAGCTGTTGTTGCTTGTTTGTGTTAATTTGACATGATTATGTCAGAATGTTTGACAAGTTGTCATATGGCGTAAAAATGCTTGAGTACCCCGCATTGGCTTGCAACTTTTTCTTGGCTCGATAGAGTCAGCTGCCAGCCACACGGACCTTCGTCGTTTTTTTTGCTTTTCTTTTTGTGGGCGGTAGGCGGGCGCTGCGTCATTGTGCGCGTCCTTGAGGCGGGCTTTATAGAGCGCCAGCGGAAGTGGCAGCGGAAGCGGAAGCACATGCCAGCCCCAAAGTTTCAGAGTCATTTCTTTTCTTACTTTTCGCTGCCTGCTTTGCTGCCATTCTTGTGGCAAATTCATTAATAACATTTGTGCGGCAAGTTTTCTTCTAGCCTTCATGCCCTTTTTTTTTTGCTTACCCCGCCCACTTGCCGCCTGCTGGCAGTGTCTAGTAATATATTGTTAAAATGGCGTAAAATTGCCAGCTTTTTGGGCGTCAGTTTGTGACACGCAACGTGGGCGTCCCTGCAGATGCTGGAGCAGGCAAAAAAAGAAAAAAAGAGAGATATATATATTATGTATGTGTGTGTGTTTGTGTCGTAACATGTTTATGGAAGAGGGCAGGCAAAAGGAATGTGTCGCAAATTAACCTTTTGACAGCCCAGCCTCGAGCCTTGGGAGTTGACAAATGGAGCTGCTGCTGCTGAGGCAGCGGCAGAGGCAGTTGCAATGAGCTAATGAAGTGGCAGCTAATCTAAATAGATTTCCAGCAATTGCCATTGGACATATTCGATGCTTATGCTTATCGCTTTTCTATTTGTCTTTGCAGATCCAATGAACAGCAGCTGACGACGGCTGCTGCTGCAGTGGGCGTGGCTGGGCCGCTAACCGACAAAACAGAGGCTGTTGTCGCCGCGGTCAAGTGCAGCAACAATGGCAACAACAACAACAACAGCAATGGCAATGGCAATGGCAGCAGCTGCAATAATGCTGCGCAACAGTCACAAAAATCTCAGCTGCAGCAATCGAGCAACAACAACAGCAACAAATTAAATGGCCAATCAAATCTCAGCTCGAACAACAACAACAACAACAGTAGCAGCAACAGCAACAGCAATAACAACAATAACAACAACAACAAAATGACATGCAACAGCCAAACGGATGGTAAGAATGGCGACAGCCGTCGCAGCAGCAGCCTGGAACCGGATGCAGACGACGTTGTCGACTTGGCCCACGGCGGAGCCTTCGATGACGATATGCAGGCACTGCTGCCCAAATGCACGCGACGCTCGAGAGATGAGCTCAGTCAGGTGAGTGCTATGAAATGAGCGCAATATTATGTTAATTAAGAGTTGAGCGAAGAAAGAGAGAGAAAGAGAGAGAGAGAGAGAGTGAGAGAGATACAAAGAATAAGAAACAGAAAATATATTTAGTGAGAGAGAGGGAGGGAGGGAGAGGAAGAGAGATAGAGAGGGAGAGATGATGAGATAGAGGGAAAGGTACAAAGAACAAGAAACAGAATAATAGAAAGCGAGACTGAGAAAGAAAAAGAGTGATAGAAAGAGAGAAAGATATAAAAAGAGAGCGATTGATAGAGATAAACAAAAAATTAGAACGGGAGAGAGACAGAGAGAGAGATAGAGAGAGAAGGAGACAAAGAGAGAGAGAAAGAGAGAGAGAGACAGAAAGAGACAGAGAGAGAGAAAGAGACAGAGAGAGAGAGAAAGATATAATAAAAAAAGATAATTATAAAGAGAAACAAGGTAATAGAACGCCAGAGAGTGATAGAGAGAGAGAGAGACAAATTGGAGAAAAGATGAGACACAGAAGAGAATAGAGATAATGAAACAGATCTACAAAGTGAGAGAAAACAGAGGGAGATAGAGAATGAAAGAGGAGCATGGAAGGAAACAGTCACAAAGGCAAAGACAGAGTGAGAGGTAGCAAGAGTCAGAAAGAGATGCAAAATAAAACACGCATAAAGAGAAATATATATTAAGGGAGATAGAGAGGACTATAGACATAGAGGAAGAGTGAGATTGAACAAGAGTTTTAATAAGATCTGATGACATATTGTGATAATAGATATATAAATATAATAGAATATTATAAGCTGATGATGAAGTCATTAATATAATATACGGGGCTAAATTCGACCCACTTAAGGACACTAGAGTTCGGGCCTAAATATCTTGTTGGTATAGAACAAGTTAGGCCAGAAAATATAGTCGTACATATGTACTTCTTCTATTCGGAGTAAAGAGAAACTCGACTACAATAACTGCCCATATAAATAATACTCAGGCTTATAGATTATATATGTATGTAATCTTCCACCCATAAATGCATCAAATGTATATTTAAATACATATACATATACATATATATTTACATATATGAAACATAACAATCTGCAAATGAAATTGGCTTTCACATTATAGAGCTCGAATTGGTATTGCATAATTAGAAATTGCTTAATAGCTGGGGAATTCTGATTCAAGTGTGTGTGTGTGTGTGTTTCTGTGTGTGTTTGGCAACAACAACTGTTGAGCATATTGATGAGTCCTGCTTTGTATTTGTCGCACTAGCCTCATTTGCTGCTGTGGCTGCCACAACCGAGCAACAGCCCAGAGGCAGAGCCACACCCACACAGTTCGTGCCACAGTAAGTGGCAATTACGCAAGCTGCCAATGGGCCATCAGCAGCCTTTGGCCGTCTAGTTGTTGCTGTTCGTCCTTTTAGTCCTTTTGTGCGTTTGTCCCTTTGTGCATGTGGCACTCATTCATTCATAATTTGCTACGTGTTGCCATGACAGCCATAATCATAATGCTGCTGCTCCTGCTCCTGCTGCTGCTGCTGCTGCTGCTCCTGCTCCTGCTGGTGCTGCCATAAACTGTGCATCGAATGATGCCCATTTCGACAGAAATAAAAATTACAATACACGTTCACGTCCTCTGCTCTCAAGCGATTCCACCACCCCACTGTCCCAGCTCCATGTATACTCCATACTCTAGACTCCATGTACCCTTACCCCATTATGGCTCCATTATTTACATGCATTCGTGCGTGCTGCGCGCTGCGCACTGCTTTTCTCTGGCAGCTCTGGCATTCTTCATTAATAACTGCGAATCCTTTTACCATCATCATAGTCGTCGTCGTCGTCGTCGTCGTCGTCATTATTAAAAGCGACGCCTTTATTCTAATGTCTGACAGGAAATTACAGGAAAGGCGCCGCCTAATATGAATAATGAAGCACTTTTCCCTGTATTCACACACTAACACACACACACACACACTAACACACACGCACACTAAGTCATACACTCTATACAAAACTCTTTTTGACAAGTCAATTTACTAGTTAATTTGATATGCCAGTTTGATCCACATCCACACACACACTCACACATACGCATACTATTACACACACACACATTCTCAGCTCACTCAAGCGTTAAGCGCATCGGTATGTTCTCTATAATTGCTTAATAATGCGTTAGATTGCCAGCATATTGCAGCTGGCGGCTGGAGGCGTTGTTGCCAAACTTCGGCAACTGCTTCAGCTGGTTGCAACGCTGCGAAGTATGCAACACATTGCACAGCGTTGCCACCTTGAGGCCAGTATAAGATTTGAGGGAGCAGCACTATGACTAACCATCGATAGACACACATTTATCGATAGTTAACATATAGATGTCATATCGAAGTCGATACTTGGCGTGCCAGAAGTGGAAAAGAGAGATCGCCAGAGCTAAGTAGAAGTTTAAAGAGTTGAGTTTGATTTTAAGAAAACAAGATATGTAAAACTAAAGTGAAGAACTGAAGGCTTTCTACTGAGCACTGTTAAGCTACTAACAGGCACACTCTTGCATTCATTGTGGCCAAACCTTCTTGTTCCCGTACCTACTAACAGAGAGCTTCAGATGCGGGCAAGCATTGTTGCCAAACTTCTTGGACTATTCAAGCTTTTCATAGGCTACTTGCTTATAGAGCTTTACTCGGCATGTTTTGTGGCTGCAATGTTGCCAAATTTCTTACGGTTAATATATAGAATCATATTCTATAAACAATCATTATAGACAAGCTCTTGCTTTTTGTTCTCAGCTAAAGCATTGTTGCCCAATTTCTTCGACTTATTGGTCAACAGCGTTGCCAGAGTTAGTAGAACATAATGTACTGGCTGTGTGAAAAATGAGTCTTGGTTATTTTGCGTTCTACTTTGGGTTTATTTATAGCAAAAATGTTATCAATTAACTACAAGTCTATATAAATTTTCAAAAATTTTCAAGTGTTGCCCCATTGCCCAACTTCTCAATGTGCATGTGCATATGCAGCGTTGTCAAATTTCTTAATTAAAATATATAGAATGGAATTCATATAAACAATCATTAGAGACAAGCTCTGGTTTTTTTGTTTCTTAAAGCATAGCTGCCAAATTTATTCGATTTTTTTGTGAACAGAGTTGCCAGACTCCATTGTTTGTGCTAGAAAAATGAGTATAAATGATTTTTGTAATCAACTTTGGGTTTATTTATAATCAAAATTATTTCAGTTTATTTATGTTTCGATCAACTGCAGTTCTATGTAAATTTCCAAGTATTTCCAGTAAGGCAGCGTTGCCAATTTTCATGCGCCGCAAAGTAGGCGGCAATGCGATAGATAGATGCACAAGTGAAATAAATTGCAGCCAAGTCTTTTGTCTCTCTGTGGCTGGCTCAAATGCCGTTGGCCAAGTTCAAAGTCAAAGACCAAATTAATACCCAGCTCTGTGAGTGTGTGTGTGTGTGTGTGTGCATAGATATTGCTGGCGAACTGGGCAACCACAAACGTGTGGGCTGTCTGGCCAGACACACATGTTCACATTTTAATTTGTGTTGCATTTCCTGTTGCATTTGGCAAAGAACTCGCAAGGATGGCCGGCAGGAGCATCTTTGCTGTCTCGACTGCCGCATAAAATATTGATTTCAATGGGCTTCAGTTGACCAGTAAATGCAGCAACAGCAGCAGCTGTGGCAGCTAGCCTAGCCGGGCCGGGTCCGGCCTGGCTGACAACAATTTCCTCTGCGATTTTTGGCCATTTATGAATATTCAATAAAAACAACAACGGCAACAACAACGAGCAATGGCGATAAAAGTGTCTGCTGCGCGTTGCCATAACCACAGACAGCTTTACAGCAACAATGATGGCAACAACAACAACAGCAACAACAACAAATGCAACACATGAGCCACACACGCTGTGTGTCTGTCTGTCTGTGAAAAGTTTTTATCGCCCGCCAGCCCATCAGAGATGCGAGCTGGCGAGCTAGAGAAGGAATGGGCGTGGCTACTATGCTGCTCAACTTTATTACTTTCATTATGCCACAGCCCTGCTGGCATGTTGCCCATGGCCGGCAGCAACCCTATACGCACCCAAAGCTCGACTAGCTCCATCCATCCATGCTCCCCCATCCCCCCTCCACGTTTGCTGCATAGAGATAAGCCCGGCAGGCAAAGTCCATAAACAAGTTTCGAGTCTAATCTGCAGCTGCGGGCCATGTCCAGGTGCACGTGTACTAATTGCAGCGGTATTAGTGGCGCTTTGTCAGCGGCTTACGGCCACGCCCGCCGACCTGCCCTCTGTGATGTTCGGCTTGTCATGTCAGTCGAGCGAGAGCGAGCGACTCTTGGCACTCGCATTTGAGTCTCTCATGTTTTCTTCGTTTTTTTGGATGTGTTTTTTGAACATGTTTACTGATGCCAGCAGCCGGATATGAGAGCCAGACAGACAAGGACACCACCACGGCGTAGTGGACAGCACGGCCGGCTGCTCGGACGCAGCTTTAAACCTGCTGCTCTAATGAAGTGTGTCCAAACAGAAATAATAGAAAGACCGAAAGAAAAAACAAACAGCAGAAACAGCAACAGCAACAGCAGAACGTTCTTCATTTCGAGCTCCAGCTCCATGGGCCATCGCCTTTGGCCAGCTGAAAGGAAGTTTGTCACTCCGTTTGATGCTTTGCTTTCGGTGGTGCGCCGGCTGGGTGTCATGTTGCAGACTGAGGAGTCGTGCGACTCCGTTGGCCACTCCAGCAGGCAGCGTGCGCCTAATGGCTGTGACTTTTTGACAGCAGCAGCCACAGCCACAGCCAAGTGTCCCATGTCCTGAGTGTCCCAGGTCCCATGTCCTGTGTCCGGTTTCTTGTGTCCTTTTCACAGCTACCCCAACGCCAGCTTGTCTGCGTCTTGCCCTTGGCCAGCTTTATGGCCATGGATTTTGTGCGCAGCTTATTAAATGTCCTCAAATGTTGATTGTATTCGACTTTGGTTG